CCTTCACCAGCTGTGTCAGGAAGTTATCTTAAACGCACTGCAGGAACCTCCAGGACTGTTCCCTCTCTGCTGTGTTACATTTCCAGCAGATATCTGGGAAGTTGAAGTCCCCTACAAGTACAAGGGGAAGGAATCGTGAACCTTCTCCCAGCTGCCTATGGAATATTTTGTCTATTTCTTCATCCTGGTTAGGTGGTCTATAGCAAAGTCCCACCATGGTATCTGACTTGTTGGCCTTCCCCTTGATTCTCACCCATAGGCACTCCACCCTGTTGTCACTATCACTAGCCTCTATGCAGTCGTAGCACTCCTTAACATACATGGCCACCCCATCACCTTTCCTTCCTTGCCTGTCCCTTCTGAAGAGCTTATACCCATCAATGGCAGCACTCCAGTTGTGTGACTCATTCCCCCATGTTTCTGTGATAGCTGCTATATCGTAGTTATTCCGATGCACAACAGCTTCTAGTTCCTCCTGCTTATTGCCCATGCTGCGTGCGTTGGTGTAGACACACTTCAGTCGGGCTAAAGGCCCTGCCACCTTTTCACAGGGAGAAGTCCTAATTTCTGCCAAGCCATGTTCAGGGACTTCCACGGTTACTAACCCATCAGTGACCCTTGCATCTTGGTTGCTGCATGGAACTCCATCCCCTACCTCCACTGGGACAGTAGTCAAAATTTTCTCACTAGCGCACTGTCTCACACATGTTGGCGCTCCACCCACAGGCCCATCGCTAGCAAGATGTGTTATATGTCCTTTCCCCCCTCCCCCCTTCAAATCTGGTTTAATGGTATTGGTCTTTTTGCGGGAAAAGCAGTAGGCTTTCTGGAAAGTGATAAGTTTAAGGTATTACGCATTTGTGAAAAGGTCATATTCCCCCTTTGTACACACTATTAAAGTGTATCAAAGTTTTTGTTTCTCTTACTTGGAAGGGCTACGTGGAGCTCTTTGGAGATCAGTGATTGACTGCAAAATCAAATGCATGTTTATATTTGAGGTCATGAAAGGCGATGGTTCTGAAATCCATAGTTTGTTGATTACAGAATTTGTTTCTGTGCTAATGGACAGTCATATAATCATCTGGACTATTTATCATCCTTTAGGTTTCGGCATAGTCCAAATTGCTGGTACTTGAGAGACTGGACTATTCACAGCTGGATCAGACAGTGCTTAAAATATGGTGCGCAAGACAAAGCCTTATACACATTAAAAAACAAGGTAAGTTTTCTAAGGAAAAGCCTTATTGTTACACTTGAATTTTAGCTAAAGCTCTTCACAGCTTTTATTTCCTCTTCTCTCCCAGGAAACTTTTTGTTTTTAAACAGTGTTGGTGTCCAAAACGTGCTAGATTCAGGGGAGACATAAAAACCTGATAGGCAATGTCCCTCCTGGTGCCAAAAGCTCAGATAAAGTGCCAGAACAAATCCGGTACATCAAACGTTAGAAAGCCTACATCACAGGAGCTGTGGTAATCTCGTGTGTTGCTTGACTAACTGTCACATTGCAGCGCTGTGCAATACAATGGTTCTGATCTTTCTGATACCTGCAGTGCTATGCTTGGGAAGATTTGAACAACAGATTTCCACACTGAAATTTCTTTTCCTTCATCTCTTCAGGTTCAATATGGAATTTTCCCAGATAATTTTACATTCAATATTTTGTTGGATTGTTTTATAAAGCAGAAGAAATATGAAGGTAAGAAAATGCATACCAAATCTGCATCCTTAGTTGTATGCTCTTAAATCTGCAGAGCCTTTCTTTGAATGACAAAATTTTGCCATATTCTCTGACGCCAGCTTAAAACCAATTTTTCTCCTTCCTTTAAACTACTTTTCTGCATGTTTACATCTCATTTCTATTGGGTTTTTGTTCTTGATATAATTTTGAAACACATGCGGTTCACAGTTTCTACTGTGATTGATCCCATTCCAAATGTAAACCAACTTCTACAGTTTTTACAAGTCTGACTTACATGCTAATGACATCATAGGAATTATTAATGACAATTAGAGTGTTATAAGAATCAAAATGCATGTTGATAGAGTTCTTTTTGCCTACATTCAGCTCTTCAAAAAGCCACAGTTCTCAAATGTTTTTCTAGACTTTTTGTTGGTCAGTGGAGAAAGCCAGCTATGCTGGATTGCCTTGTTGAGGTGTCTGAGGTTCATGATTGACTGTTTAAGTATTGAGATTAATAATCCTCACGTTTGACAATATTTAAGATTTTCATTTCACTGCAGGTTTTCTGGTATTGCAAACTTGCAGCGAGCTTTTCTTTGCATAAGCCTTTTGTCAAACAAATAACTGAATGGGACAGTAGAATTGCAGGACTTGACTTCAGCTTTTATGCTGAAACTTTTGGTAAATGGCAAATTAATACATATATTTATTTTATTTAAAGACCACCTCACTATCCATTAATTTCCCCTTATTCCATCCGTATTTCTTTTCTGTGACAGGCTCAAGGCCTTTGTTTAGCAAACTGTCCTTCCTGACATGGAGTGTCACTGGAACTCCTTGTGGGGCCCCTCCAGAGCACTGTTTGCTGAGTACTGTGAGTGCTGTGGGTGAACTGTGACAACATTTCTGCTCCACTGTACTCTCCTGTCACCTTAAGGGCAGTGAATTTAAGCCAGTCTTCTCTTGTTTGTAATCTAAACACAAGAACAGAGAAGTCTTTTTTACAGATTTAAAAAAAAAATGTTAACAATTGAAAGGCTGAGTAAAGAAGAGCCAGTTGAAGAGTATAGTACTATTAGTTTGAGAAGCTCCTTTGCTGTGGTCTCATGCTATTCATTTCATTCTTCCTTCTCACAGTGTGTTTGAATAACCCAAGTGAGTAAGACATTCTATACTACTAGTCATGAAAAATCTTTAACTTTCTGCCTAACTACTTCAAAATAGACTACAACAATAGCCAATCAGTGGGCATGACTGGGTACGAAAGGAAGCTGTGTGAATTTGCTCTTGCTGAATATGTATTGTTTTCCTCCACAGAAGCTATGTCAGTAGTAACAGAGATCATGCTACAAGAAAGTTTTGATGAGTTCTCAACACAGCTTCTTTCTCTCTATGTTTCATACCAGTACCTGGCAACCAAGTCCGAACATACGGTAAGCTAGCCACACTCAAAATGATACACAAAGCCTCCATTTCTGAGTGTCATGGTGCAGTCAGTTGGGTATTCAATCTTGAATATGTTTTGTTTCCCCTAAGTTTACCTGGAAAAAATAAATACTATTTTTTTTTCATTATTTTTCAACTGCAGAAGTAAAAGAAAGAAACAACAAAATATGAAAATCAAATAACATCAGATAACTTGTCACACCTATTGTTCCTTTCTCTGAAAGGGAAAATGTGTTGGAATTATTTGGCTTTGGCTATATTGTTTCTAGTATGTATTTGTTTCCAAACTAAGTTTGTTACTTCTTTTTGAGCATTAGTGCTTTCTTATTCACACCTCACTTGCTTAAGGCCCACATGACAGTTCAGGCTCTTGGAAGTGGCATTATTCTGTCTTTGCAGAAGGGTCTCAGTTAGGTATCGGCAAAGGGCTTTCCTATGTTGATCACTTTAAGCAGCTACTTTTCATTTAGTTGGGCATAAGCCTTCAATAGTATGTTGTCTTCCATAAGGAAAATGCTCAAATGCTCCATTAGTCTTACAAGAAGCATCTTCCAAAATGCATACTGCAGATGCCTTAAGGTTTTACTCAATTGGGCTGTAATTTCAGTTTTCACTATAGAAAACAGATGTGCATTTGCCCTGTTCTGTATTCCCCTTCTTTCCCGAGAAGTGAAATATGCTTGATCACTTGTATATAAAAAGTAGAGGGACCACAATCTCATTTTCACGTTGTGTTTGTGTAGCCTCACTGCAAAGATGAGCACTTGCCAATATGTGTAATGTTGCATGAAGGCTGAATATGCAGGCAAGGGTGGTGTTGGACATATGACACATTTAAGGCAAGCATATTTATACAAGTGATTTAAGAAGTGGGGCTAGACAGAATTATGAGGTCTGCTCAGCTGCTCCTGAAAATCACTTTCCCTTTTTCCAAGGTATGAGACAGGTCAGCCAGTGCCCTGTTACAGATAGGCCCTTAGTCATAGCTCAGGATCCAGCAGCCTGATGAAGTGCATAAAGGAGGACATCAGAGGTGATGCGAGACAGCCAGCATGGATTTACCAAGCACAGGTCCTGCCTGACCAACTTAGTGGCTTTCTATGATGCAGTGACTACATCAGTGGACAAGGGAAGAGCAATGGATGTCATCTATCTGCATTACTCTTAAGACCTTTGACACAGTCCTCCACAACATCCTACTCTTTAAACTGGGGAGATACAGATTTGATGGGTGAACTGTTCAGTGGATAAGGATTGGTTGGATGGTCGCATCTAGAGGCCAGTAGTCAATGACTCAATGTCCAGATGGAGATGGTGACAAGTGGTGTCCCTCAGGGGTCTGTACTGGGACCTCCTCCAGAGGAGGACTTGGGAGTACTGGTGGATGAAAAGCTAGACATGAACCGCCAATGTGCATCTGCAGCCCAGAAGGCCAACCGTATCCTGGGCTACATCAAAAGAAGTGTGACCAGCTAGGGTGAGGGAGGTGATCCTGCCCCTGTGCTCTGGTGAGACCTCACCTGGAGTACTGTGTCCAGCTCTGGAGTTTTCGCTACAAGGAGGGCATGCAGTTGTTGGAGCGAGTTCAGACGAGGGCCACAAAGATGATCAGGCGGCTGGAGCACTTCTCCTGTGAGGACCAGCTGAGAGACTTGGGGTTGTTCAGCCTGGAGAAAAAAACGTTGTAGGGAGACATTATTACAGCCTTCCAGTACTTAAAGGGGGCCTATAAGAAGGATGGAAGCAGTCCTTTTATCGAGGCCTGTTGTGACAGGGAAAGGAGTAATGGTTTTAAACTAAAAGAAGGTAGATTTAGGCTAGATATAAGGAAGAAACTTTTTACACTGAAGGTGGTGAAACAGATTGTCCAGAGAGGTGGTGGATGCCTAATCGCTGGAAACATACACGATCAGGTTGGACAGGGTCTAAGCAGCCTGATCTAGTTTGGGATGTCCGTGTTCACTTCAAGGGGGTTGGACCAGCCCAAAGCATTCTGCGTGATTCTGTGTGAAATGCTTTTTTAATTTTGCAAGCTAAATCTTGGGCAATCTGGCTATGTTAGTCCTTAGTGTTTTTAGCAGTGGTGATAGAGAGCTTCCATTTTTCTGCTGTTGCAACCACTGAAAGTCAGACTGGTCTTGGCTCTCTCCAGAAAGTTTCCTCCTTTGACTGCTGTAAACAGTCAGTACGATTGCTGCCTTTCACTGCAAAGGTGTTAACATTAAGTTCCTGCAGTTCCTCCAGCTCTTGGAGCCAAATGGGCTAGCTCCCAAAAGAACTGAGACTGCCAGAAGCCCTGTTTTTCCAGTTGCATCTGATTTTCCTGTAACATTCAGATGGAGTGCTGAATTCAGCATGAAACAGCCCTATCTCCTTGTATTCCTTTTCTGGGTCAGGCAGATACCTTGCCTGACTGTCAGGTGATGGTATTTTGTGACAGATGATAACATGCAAATTCTTGGAGCACCCAAATGGAGGCACAGAAAAATGCCATACCTTGCAAAGAGATACCTGAATAATGAATTAAACCAGGAGGTCGAACCTTTGTGCTTTTTAAGACTCAGTGTATCTCAGGGAATTTTTCAGAAGGCTTCTTCCTTTCACCAGGGATATTTGTTTCAGGTCATAAGGTAATAAATGAGGCACTGAAGTACCCTGCCACAAAACCCACATGTCAGGGAGTCAGACTTTTCCCAATCTATTGCCTTTTATACCTTCCTTTTCCTCATTTTCTTAGCAATGGGAGTTGTTCAGCTCCTTTCATATGCAATAGACATTTATCCTTGATGTTTGTGCTTCTCTGATCTTGAAAAATGTACTGTACTATCACATAGCAAAACAAAATTCACATTACTCTTATGGTTTTAATGTGCTTACTGATTGGGTGCCCTTTAGCCATCACTGGTGGTCTGACTCAGACAGCTGGTACTTCTCTGTAGCTGAAGAGACAGCTGTACTTTTAATTCTGGGGCATTCAGTGGTCTTGGTGATTTTCAAAGTGCAGATTAGGGACTCAGAGCAGCCATTAGCAGCATATTCTTCTCTCAGCATTTTTCTAATCCAGTGAGCGATAATGAAGCTTGTGTCTTACCACATACTTAAAAGAAAAGGCTGCTCTAGTACAGAAGCCATGTAATTTTTTTCTTCAGCAGTCTTGGCCTGAAGCAAGTGGTAGGGTATACATGATGGAGACAGAGCTTGGCCAATGTACATCAGTGCAACGCACTGTCCTGAAGAAAATGCACTGATTGAGTTCCATGCAAAGTCTCAGCCACTCACATTTTACTGTCTTCCGGAAAGAGAGGTGTTCATCGAAATAATGTGTACTATTCATCAGGTTATACATAGTATGAATACTAGATACATTTAATGATTCTTTACTTTTTTGCTAAGATATCTGATGAAAGCCACATGTGCTGTCTTTGGCTGCTGGCATTTTATGTTCATGTTTGTCAAAGTACACTTACTTAGTTTACATTATTTGCAGTGGGAAGAGGAGAGAAATTTTGGAGCATCGCTATTGCTTATGGGTCTAAAGCAAACAAGCACTGTGGGTTTTAGCTCCCAGCTATATGGCTATGCATTCCTTGGTAAGTTTTACTTCTCTCACAGTCATCTTTTACCTCTTGTCTTCAGTGGCTGAAGTAAATTGGCATCTTTGCTTTATTAAAATGCGATCAAGGAGAAGGCTAATTAGAAAAAAAGGCAGAAATAGTAGATAAAACATTTTCAGAGTTAAGACTGAATCTGTTTTGTAAGCCTGGAGGGTAGTACTGATTTGAATTGGTATGCCTTTTGTCAGACAGCTTCAGAATCTCCTTTAGGGCTCCTGACAGATTTGGATTGGCAGCTGAAAGACAGAAGACGTTCTTAAAGAACAGTAGAGTTTGTTTGTTTGTGGACAAACCGATTTTCAAATAAAACAAATTTGGGTTATGGGACACTGTACATTTGAGGTTATGGACAAAAGACTCCTTTTCTTATTAGTGAGCTTCTTAATCCTTAAACCTCAAGAAGTTCAGAGACCACACCCTGAAAAACGCTATGTTTAGAACATTTACTACTCACTGTAAAGTTAATGTTTCTGTTGTGAACAGCAGATAGCAGTGCCTTTATCCTGTATCTGTTAAGGAGTCTTTACTGCTGATGATATGCTACATTATTAAAGAGCACTTAAGAATACACCCAGAAATGGAGGGATGGGGACCAGCTAAGTAATTCTTGAATTTCCTCTAACCTTTAACTAAGGCCAAGTGCCGGGTCCTGCACTTCGGT